AGTCTAAGTCATGTTATGTATTTAATGCTTCTTACGTATGAATTATTTCGTTGTTGAAGTTATTCTTTATCATAAGCAATTTATATATACTAAATAGTAGGTTGTATTTTCATACAAATTGACGTCTACATAATGTGAAATTCGATGATAAGAACCTACGTATTCACAATAATCACTGCCATTAAATACCTTAAATCAAACTGTTCTAAAAATTCCATTCATCTCGCGTATAACGGTCTGGGTGGCTCGACACTGCTTGCACTATACATACTGAGGTAAGATGGTGGTTGGAGGTGTTCAACAGGAAACCCTGGACCCGGGTTTCGTGCTACTTGGCACTCGTCAGCAAGGTGTACCTGTTATCCTGAGGGAACTGATGCTCCCTCGATTCCGAGTCACTCAGCTTCACAGTCAGAGACGTTGCCACTGAGCTATTCGGGTCGCGACCAACCTCCTGTAGGACCAGGGTCCAGGGTTTCCTGTTGACCACCTCCAACCACCATCTTACCTCAGTATATATAGTGCAAGCAGTGTCGAGCCACCTAGACTGGTGGCCACATTGCAACTCGATCAATAGCATTCGATCAGCACTAAGAAGGACCTGATATGCATGAGATTGATCACCACCCAGTGATCAATCAATTGTCATTCATCTCGCTTTTCAAATTATTTTTCTTAAATAATATTAGTCTTCAAAATGTGGTAAAGATAAGGTTTCGTCATTTAGACTATTTTCGTATAAATCTTAAGATAAGGGTTAGATTGCTTGTGAAAAAGTGAATTTTTTTGTAATCATTTTGTAAACAATTATCCGCCTTAACTTTTCATAGAATGACATATAATATTAAAAGATCTCATTCTCAAATACAATCAAATTTTGTAACACACCTTCCTGAAACCTTTTTTTCGAGTTCAATGCTATGTATCTTCAAATAATTATGACAACACAGAAATTACGGACACAATTATATGTTTCAGAATGAACTACCTAAACAACATATTTTCCCATTATGATAATCATGATCATAACTTATTTTACTTTTCGTTTTTAAATTTTATGGGTTTTTTTCATTTAGCTTTCTTTCTTTATCAATCGATTAAATTGTTTACTTTATACTCCATGTGTAGTGAATGTTTTATTCTTACAGACTGATTAACTTTTCCTTCATTTCTCATTGAACTTTAGATCATTACTAATGTTTTTGTATTTTTAGAAACGATTCATTGTTTTTCTTTTAGAATTCTTTGATGATGATGATGATGATGTACTAAACAGCGAACAAATACCGTAAATAATTGTAATTTTTTCTGTCAGAATATGATATATTTTAAAACAGTAATTTTGTAATTTATACGAATATTCGTCAATATTAGAACGAATAAATAAAGATGGATAGTGGCGAGCAATGGAATTCAGGAGGCACATTTCCTCTTCCTTGAGATTCATCAGCTGGATATATCTGCATTTCAGTGTTGATATTCATTCTGGTACTCGAACTCAGTACAGTTCGCTTTAAACGTCATCGCATTATCCACATAGCTACTGAGTCGTTATAGCCAATATCGAGACAATACGCATAGTATGCACATATGTCAATAACGAACTGATCAATTACAGTCTTAAATAACAATGGGAAGATTCAAGTAAACAATACCAAGTGAAGTAGAACGAATAGTATGATAAAAATTGGGCACCGAGTAATGAATTATGTTGTAATTCTAAGAACTTATTAAATAGTATCTTAAATGAATAAAATAAAGATGTTTCTTTCTGCACTTTATCCCACTAACAGTCTAAACTTCTTATCTAAATGATAAGGCTCAGTAAAAAAAAAGTTAAACTGTTACTTAATTAACCATTTAGTACAGTAAATTAAGTATAATCACAGTAATTACAGATGGTAATGAAAAGAAATGGGGGAAACGATTGGAAACTATTCTAAAAATTATTTATTCATTATTTATAGAAATTATTTATGATTTAATAATAAAGACTTTTATTATCATCATAAATGATATTACTTATCAAAATAACTAGTATATGTATGTTTGTTTGTTGGCATTCATTTCAAATTTATCTCAATATTCAACATTAATACCATCATTAACAATAATTATGTATGAGGTCATTATGACCTTTTTTTGAATAAACTTGTTTTATTCAATCAGTATATTTTAAATATGAATGTATTTCAATATAATCACTGTTTAATAATCAAAAAAGAATAAAATTGTTGTGAATATTGGAGTACTTTTTTCATTGTTGAATTCATGAGTCGATTAAAACTAGATCATTATGAAAAACCTGGAAACACTGGATGGTCGTTTTGTCCTAGTATGAGACTCCTCAGAAATGCGCATTTACTTCTGAGGCGTCCCAGTATGGTCCAGCTATGTCACGTGTGAGGCAATTACCCATTGAAGACAATGAAGGATGGACATGAAATATTGTGGATCAGTAGAAGTCAAACATAAACACTAGTGGATGTCCGCTTAGTGGTCTAGAGGTTCGTTCGAGATCGGGAGTGCTGAGCTCGATTCTCGTGTTCAGGATTGTGGATGCGCACTGCTTATCGGTCCCATACTAGAACGAAATGGTAGTTCGGTACTTTTAGTTTAGTAGGTCTTCTATGATGATCTAGCTTTAATTGACTCATAAACTCAAATATTAAAATACTTAAAAAGAGTTTTAAAAATCACTAATAACTATAAATGAATGAATAATAATACCATAAAACATTTTACTTTGGTAGTTTAAACTAAATTAACGAAAATGATAATTGTATTATTTTTTCTGTTGTATTCATTTTTCCATTTTAAACATTATGTTTCTTACTACATTGAATCTAAGTATATTGGATGCAATACCGAATACAATGATTCAATCAATGTTAATTTTCATACTGAATGATGTATATTTGAACTAATTTTACTACAAAAATGTAAATGTTTTTTTAAAGATGGACAGTGGCTAGAAGTGAAATCCATGAAGCGCGTTTCGTCCTATTTGGGACTTGTCAGATGGATTTACCTGCATCTCCGTGTTGATGTTAACTCTGCGATTCGAACCCAATACTGTTCTCTTCAAACGCCGTCGCATTATTCACTTGGTTACTGAATCCTGATAGCCAGTTGCTTGTGGGGCGCAGTTTAAATTCACTTGGTATTGTTTATTCGAATCTTCCCATTGATGTTTAGGATCTTTGCTTATAATCCTTGCAAATTAAGGCAATATCGAGGCAATGTGAACAGTATGCACATATGCTAATAACAGATTGATCAACTGAAATCCTAAGCATGAATGGGAAAATTCAAACAAACAATACCAAGTAAATTTAAATGGTTTTTTCAAATAACGTTTTCTTTTTTAATTTTAGTTACTTCATAATTTATTTCCTAAATAATATTGAACTGATTACATTAATTTAAATAATTATTTATCAGTTGAATAAGCAGCAAAACAGAATACTCCACCATCTTCAATAATTATTGAGCTTAGTAATCTGACAATGTGTTATATCACATTCTGTGTTCAATAATTAAATAGAATTAAATAGAGTTCCAGAATTATTCAAAAGAATTTCTTTTCTTTTTCTCGGTTCATTTAAACACAAAAAACAAATAAAAAGTCATTAACTTGTAAATTATAGTTCAGTTATTAGATAATTTTAATCAGTTTACAGATCATAAATTTAATAACGATGCGAATGTAAGGTAACTGTATCATAGTTCCTCACCGTTGTATTATTCACTATTTAATGTTTACGTTTGTAACACTGGAGTGAATACATCTCTAGCTAAACAAATAAAATATCATAATACCTAGTAGCTAAGTGGATAATGCGATGGCGTTTGAAGCGAAAGGTACTGTGTTTGAGTCCTAAAGTGAACATCAACTCTGAGATGCAGGTACATCCAGTTGACGAGTCTCAAATAGGACGAAACGCGCGTCTTGGATTCCATTGCTAGCCACTATCCATCTTTGCTTAGTGCTTTCAGCTGTTGAACATTATCTAGAATAAGTAACTAACTTTGAATTAAGTTCCATTACATATAATCATTAGAGAATTTGTATTGAATGTTCAAACGGTTTAAATGAACTATAAACTAGCACATTGTTTAATCAGAATGATAAATGTTATAAATTTATTTTATAAGTTCATAGCCTTTTTTCAAATAACAAACTATAATCACATTTTAGATTCTTTCCATCAGTCATGTATATAAGTAGTCTAACTAGCATTATAAATTGTTACTATGAAATTGAGATGAGCAATAAGTTATATCAAATTTTCTTTGCATTCAAAGCATAATTGTGATATGAATTATGTGAACAACTTAATTAAACTTCCTAAGTTTATATAATGATCAATTTAACAGATTATGAGATAAACTCTTACATCAAGATACTACTTAAAAAAGGAATTGAAATCTTGAAAATTGTTTAGCGTACATATTTTTTTATGAAATAAGATATAAAAGTGATAAACAAAAGTTTCATTGTAAGCGAAGATGGATAGTGGCCAGCAGTCGAATCCAGGACGCGCGTTTCTTCCTATTCAGGACTCGTCAGCTGAATGTACCTGCATTTCAGTATGCACATTGTGCACATATGCCAATAAGAAACTGACCAGTTGCAATCCTAAACATCAATGGGAAGATTCAAACAAACAATACTAAGTGAATTTAAAAGTTTCATTGTTTTAAAAAAGCATCTACACTTGCCAATATAACATGCTTCATAAGAGCAATTAAATTGATAGATATTGGAAGAAGTGGCTAGTCTAGGTAATTTATCTTTCAACTTCAGAATGATCGTGGTATGTGTAGAAAACAGTAATTGTAGTTTACGTGCATTAAATGTTCTTTGGATTGCTATGTGTAACTTTAGTATTATTCCTATTTAATGTCTTACATCAACTCGGCGCTCAAATACTGTGAAACTATTCGCTCTAATTTAGACGAGAGTTCTTATATATTTAGTATTATTTATTTTACAGCGCAGATGAAAGACTCAATGAAAGAAGACCGTGTGATGCAAGAATTTTTTCTGATGGAAGTGTACTTTGGAATCCAATGGGTATATTTAAAAGTACATGTTCTGTTGATATTAAATATTTTCCATTTGACCGACAAAAATGTGTTCTGAAATTTGGACCATGGAGCTATGATGGGTAAGTAAAAATTATTAATTAATATTTTTTTTAAGTCGAAAAGTAAGCAAAGACGGATAGTGGATAGCAGTGGAATCCAGAAAGCGCGTTTCGTCCTATTCGGGACTCGTCAGATGGATATACCTGCATCTCAGAGTTGATGTTCATTCCGGGACTCGAATCCAATACTTTTCGCTTCAAACGTCATCGCGTTATTCACTCAGTTACTGAGTCCTGATAGCCACTTACTTGTGCGATGGGGTAAAGTTTGAATTCACTGATTAACCAGTTGCAGTCCTAAACATCAATGGGAAGGTTCAAACAAACAATACGAAATGAGTTTAAGTAGAAGAGGATTGTTTACTGAAAAAAATCTAGATACAAATGTCAAAAATTTGGTGTGTTACCTTGACTATCATTATATTGTTAATGAATAGAACAAATTAAAAAACAAACATGATATTGCGAAATAATATGAACTTGTGAAAATTCACAAATTCTTATATTCATACAATTTTCATTAACATGGTAGGAAAAATAATGAATTAGATAAGTAAAGAAAAATTAATACTACTAATACATTTTGATGATAAATTTTAAACAGCGAAGATCAAAGTTCGTGGTTGCTCCTGTTGACTACCTCCACTTACTTTCTTACTTTTACTTACGTCTGTTACCCCTCGTTGAGGAGCATAGGCCACCCACTAGCATTCTTTATTCAACTTTGTCCTGGGCAATCATTTTCAGTTGCTATTGATCCTTTTCATATCTGCTTCCATTTTCGGACGTAGTGTGTTTTTCATCCTTCCTGTTTTCTTCTTACCTTCAGGATTCCAAGTTAGGGTTTGCCTTGTGACTACTTCCAACCATGGAACAAATATTAAGTGTATTAAACTGCTTTTATACTTATATACTCTTATAGTTCACTTGCATAGATGAAATTAATTATCAAAATATTATTTATAATTTTGTTACAATAACTGATATCTTTTCTAATAATATGATTGTGCTTTTAATAAATTTAGGCGTAATGTTTTGAGGAAGCTAATTTACGCATAAACTTTTCAAATAATAATTAAACAATTTAGTGATATTATTTTAACGATTCACTAACAACAGAATGTTAACACATATCCATTTCTTTCAATAAAAAAATTAACGGATGTTCTTACGACAAATACAGAAAACATTTATTTCCTAATAAATTGTTTTACAGCTGTGACCTCCGTCGCGTAGGTCTATTCATATTCTTAGATTTGCATTCAATGTCCTTATCAAAAACAAAAAACAAATGTGTCCTCATAATTCAAGATACCGGCCAATAATTCAATAAAATCGGTGAGATCTAACTAATTATCTGATAATAACTAAATCATATTGTTTAATCTTTAGTTTTGATAGAATCACATTGCTCTGTGGTCTAAAATTTATAATGTCTCAACATCGATGCCCAGTTTTATTTATTTTTCATTCAGAAAGTAATCAATCGGGTGCTTCGGACCTTATTTCATGGTAGTTGTAATCATAAATAAGGCATATTTTTCATGTTGTAGTAACTGACATTTCTCTTTGAGTGACTCACTGTCATTAACTATTCTTGGAACGACTGGTGATCTTTATAAATGAAATTTTTATGTTATTAGATTTCTACATCACTTCATCTAATAGTTTATGCTAACTGAATTCTATTAATTCATCAGAAGGGGTTGTTGCGGATATTATAATCATTTCGATAGTTGAGATCATGAGTCAATTGAAGCTAGACCACCATCGAAAACCTGGAAGCACTGGACGGCCATTTCGTCCTATTGTGCGACTCCTAAGCAGTGCACATCCACGAACCCGCCCCCCAAGATTCGAACCCAGGACCTACCAGTCTGATGCCAGAGCACTTAACCGATAGACCACTGAGCCGGCATCCGATGGTGTTTAAGTCTAACTTCAACTAATTCACGAAGTTGAGCAACACATCCATCAATGTATTCAGTGAGTTGATATCTCACAACAGCCCCGGTTGAACTCTACTGGTCACTGATTCGCACTAGAACTTCAGCAAATACCTCTTGAAGATGATAAGCGTCTGCGCGCAAGACCGATAGGTCCGTGTGTTCAAATCTCTCGAGGCGGGATTGTGGATGCGCACTGCTGAGGAGTTCCATAATAGGACGAAACGGTCGTACAGTGCTTCCAGGTTTTCCATGGTTGTCTAGCTTCAATTGACTCATGATCTCAACTACTGAATTCTATTAGTCAAGAAAATCTTTACAGATTTTGTCAGAACAAAACTATCAATACATTTATTGATATCAATTAATAATATAAATCAAACGGAACATTTTGATATCTTCTATTAATAGTAATAAAAATTTCATTTTGATTGTATATTTTAGATTTCGTGTTAATATTTCATTTTATGATGGTGAACGAAATTTTCGTCTACTTAATTATATTACTAATCCCGAATGGAATTTATTAAATTCAAGTGCTGTATTCACCGAATTCTCTTATCCATGCTGTCCAGAAAAATATCCTGATATAACATTTCATGTATGGATTAAAAGAAAATCTGCATTTTATACATATATCTTAATAATACCAAGTATTTTATTATCATCGCTTACATCAGTAATTTTTTGGCTACCACCACCTTCACCAGCGAAAATTGTTTTAGGTAAGTGAAAAATTTCTATGATGAACAGGGTTATTTTTATTCAAACAAAATAACTATTTGAAATTAGTTGAAAGCGTGAGACAATTGAAGCTAGACCATCGGGGAAAACCTGGAAGCACTGGACGGCCGTTTAGTCCTGTTGTGAGACTCCATCGGATGCCACCTCAGTGGTCTATCGGTTAAGTGCTCTGGCGTGAGACTGGTAGGTCCTGGGTTCGAATCTCGTGAGGCGAGGTCGTGGATGCGCACTGCTGAGGAGTCCCGTAATAGGACGAAACGGCCGTCCAGTGCTTCCCTGTTTTCCCTGGTGGTCTAGCTTCAATTGACTCATGATTTCAACTATGAAAATACTAATTCTCCACAAAAACCCCTTCTGATTTTAGAAATTAGTGAATAGAATAATCGGAGTGTTTTATTTGTGAAATTGGACAAAATTTACTAGCGGGATTTTTATTCTATATCACTACTAAAATATCGTCATTTGCAAACACAATGATCTAGACTGATTAGGGTTATATAAATTATTAGCTTTCATTAAAATTATATCGAAAATAAATAGGTTATTCATTTATTAAGTTCTTGCATAATTATATACTGTTTTTGGTTTTGATCACAAACTTTGGTCCCATACAACTGCATAACAGTATCTTAGTTTCATACTCACAACTAACTATTAGTATCAACCTACCCAGTGTTCATCTTAAAAAGATAGATTATAAAGGAATTAATGTATACGACTGTATTTCATTTTTACACCGAGTAATATCAAAAGAAAATATGACCATAATCATAAGGTTGGAGGTATTTAGGTTAAAAATTGACAATTCTCTTCACAGCCGTTCTATTCAAATGTACTCAAACAACGAATTTTTAATAAGCTATCATAGTTAAGAATCGTTCATGGAGGACAGTTCACAGATTCGTTCAAGGTAAAGACTAGTGTTAGGCAAGGTTGCTTACTCTCACCCTTTCTCTTTCTCCTGGTAATCGACTGCATTATGAAGACGTCAACATCTGGAGGAAAGCACGGGATACAATGGACAGCTAAGATGCAGCTGGACGATTTAGACTTCGCAGATTATCTGGCTCTTATATCACACACGCAATAACAAATGCAGGAGAAGACGACCAGTATAGCAGCAGCCTTAGCAACAGTAAGTCTAGATATACAAAAAGGGAAAAGCAAGACTCTCCTATACAATGCGGCATGCACCAATCGAATTACACTTGACGGAGAAGCTTTGGAGGACGTAAGAACCTTTATATATCTGAGCAGCATCATTGATGAGCACAGTGGATCTGATGCAGATGTGAGGGTGTGGATCTACAAATTGTGAGCAGCATATCTACAATTGAAGAACATCCGTAACTAAAAACAATTGTCAACCAACACTAAGATCACGATTCTCTATACAAATGTCAAGACAATTCTACTGTATGAGGCGGAAACCAGGAGAACTACGAAAGCCATCATCCAGAAAATACAAGTGTTTATTAGCAGTTGTCTGCGCAAAATACTTCAGATTTGTTGGCCAGACACTATCAGCAACAACCTACTGAGGGAGAGGACAAACCAGATTTCAGCGGAGGAAGAAGTGCTGGGAGTGGATAGGACACAGTTTGAGGAAAGCACCAACTGCGTCACAAGGCAAGCCGTCACATGGAATCCTGAAGGTCAAAGGAGAAAAGGAAGACCAAAGAACACATTTCATCGAGAAATGGAAACAGATATGAGAAAAAATGAACGAAAATTGGACAGAACTATAAAGGAAGGCCCAGGACAGAGTGGGTTGGCGAATGCTGGTTGGTGACCTTGCTCGATTGGGGTAACAGGCGTAAGTAAACAATTAAGATAATAGTTAATCTAAAATGTACACTTAAAATTACTGATTGTATGAATAGTAGAATAAAAATAATTCAAAAAATTTCTTGAAATCAAGTAACACTGTTATTCGTATGATAATTCTTTTCTGATCTTTGTTAAAATCAATAACTAATACAATGTTAACTTTAATCAGTGTTCCTCTGTTAAAATTGCAAACTTATATCTGATTTTTATGTATAGTTGAAATCATGAGTCAATTGAAGCTAGACCGCCGTAGAAAACCTGGAAGCACTGAACGGCCATTTCGTCCTACTATGGGACTCCTCAGCAGTCCACATCCATGATCCCGCCTCACAAGATTCGAACCCAGGATCTACCAGTCTCACGCCAGAGCACTTAACTGATAGACCGCTGAGCCGGTATCCAACGGTATTAATGTTCAACCTTAACCAATCCACAAAGTTCGAGCAACTGTTCAGCAATTATCTTCAGTGAGTTGTTATCTCACAACAGACGTGGTTGAACTATACTGGTCACTGCTTCCCACTAGAACTCCAGGACATGTATCTTGAAGTCAGTCACTAGTGAGCATATGATTATAATCAGAATGGATCATTGATGAATTCTCTGATTCAAATCTTGTTATATTAATTATTGAATAAAAAAACGTAACGTAATATCATTACTCATGAAAAAACAGTTTTATCTCATATGAACAAAGATTTTGGATAATAAATTAAGTTTTTTTTAAACTAACGGAAACTGATATCAACTAGATTTAACCATAATAAACATGATTTCTTCAATGTTCATATATATCAGATCTAAGTTATAAACGGAAAATTATCATCTTCATTCTATAGAACAAATTTTCTTTCAGATGCTCTAGATTCATGTTTTGAATGATTTAATACGAAAACACAATAGTTTTTTTTCGGTTGACTAATTAAACATTGTTTGCTTTATGATCATTGTTATTATTTCAAGCTATAAAAATTATTCTTCCCTCCTAATATCATGAAAATATGATATTACGACAATTTATTTATTTTTTAATGACCCGTTATTTTGACGTCAATTAGATCGGATGTTGTCGACGCGTTCACCACATCAGTGACTCGAGATTCGACTTTAGGTAGATTGTTTGCTGACAACTATCGAAATGTACATATCGTCAATCTTCGTATATAATCATTGACTTGAATCGAGTTAATGAATAACGGAATTAAATAACTCGAATACGAGAACGAAGTTTGAATGCACCAACCACCTCCAGCCACTCTAGATTTATAAAATTAGGATAATGAACTATGAACACATCGATATATACATATATATCACATTGATGCATCAATGTGAATACTACAAAATAGTTCGTTGTAAATTGTTTGGAATAACAATGAAACTGTAGTTAAGGGTTTTTGACGAGAACTAATGATATAGCAGTAAAGTTTTAGGAAATATTCAAGTTATAATAATCAGCTTCATATCAAGAACTATTCAACTAATTTTATCAAAAAAAATTTACGGCTTATCATTATTGTGAATGGTCATCTATTAAGGTTGTATACTTTATAGATATTATCTATTCTTAGTTTAGCAAACGACAACGAATATAATGGGGTTGGGAGTAGTTAATAAAAAACCTAAAACCTAGATTTCATTCTAGTTGACCATCGTTAGAAAACCGTACCCGTGACCTCGGGGAAATCAACGTTACCCATGGGATTCGAACCTAAATCGTCTGGCTCCATAATCTAAGAAATCACTGAATGACGATACAGTGATCATTACACAATGACCAACCAATTGTAAACATTCAATCTCTTATATTCAAATCATTCGAATACGTGAACAACTTGATTTCACAATTATAAATTAACATTATTTGTTTACTTACTACAACGTATGGAAGAATATAAATATTATTAGAAACGAATTCTTTTATGAAATCACTATTACATGTCATAGAAACAAAATAAAATTGGTAATGTACTTATAATTGACATTGTTTATAAAACACTATTCATCATTTTGCATATTGCAAATTGTTACGTAACATCAGCAATAGTTTTTTTTTAATTATTCAATTTATTTTTAAAGAAAATATCATATTACACTTTTTTCAAGTAATTTCTATCTAATTACTTTTTGATCATTTCAATTATGAACACTTTTCTTCATCAAGTAACTTAATATATTTTGGTATGGTTACTAAGTGTTATCAAAATGATAAATGATACAATATGAAAGCATTTCATAATGTTGATTCAGTTATGAATCTGTAACTACTTATAATAGTGACTACTTATAATAGAAATTGAGATTCAAACAATTGAACTCAAAACTTATGAGAAAATATTTTTAAAGTAATCCCATTTATTAAAAGTCAACATGTTTTATTCAGTCTAGAATAAAGAAATGAAACTGAATATTTACATTGAAGGTTTAATATTCTCATCTTCGATGTGAAATTGAAATATTTTTGGTTTGATTGTATGAAAATTCGTGGATGGATCTTACTTAATAACTTGAATCTACCATATGTATTGGGAATAGATTTGGTGTCGAACTTTAATTAGTTGCATATCATTAGAATTCTAGGAACATAACTTAAAATTAAAACTTAAAAGAGAAATTGTGAAAGATTTATATATCCGTAGATTCCTGTTTAATGAATTCATTGGAAATACACATAAAATAGATTTCCTTCGTTGATGGAGGTGATTTGTAGCTAAGATGGATGATCTTGGTGGAGTTTTGTTCTCTGAAATGGATGGTTTGGTCATAGATCTTTCGTCGTTATTCTGAACAAACTCCTACCTGAAGTTTGTGCTGATGATGTCGTTCAGAATAACGATGAAAGCTTCATTACCAAACCATGCAGCTCAGAAAACAAAACTTCACCAAGATTTTTCATGTTAGAGCTAAACTTACCGCACCACACTAAAAGAAGATAGTATTTGTTAAATTATTTTTTCAATCAAACATTTTAGTTAATCTTTTTTGTAAAATTAAAATAAATTCGTGTCAGTGATTCACTTGATTTAGTTAAGTTACTTTTTCATTCACATCTACTTACAAAGAACTGATAAAACTTCAAATACACACACTCAGTTTATCTATGTAGCTGTCCTAGACCTAGACAGATACTGTCAAATCATAAGTCTAAAAAACATAATACTCAGTTCAATAGATTTTATAACGTTCCAAAAACTGACACTAACGTAACGTGTAAACCACAAATGAACATAATTTATCAGTTACAGTATGAAATGTATCCAGCAAACTAAGTTAAACGCTATCATAACACACTTTTTACACCATTTGTTATATTTAATTAATTAATCGTAAGTATTCTATGGCTTAAATTTCGTACTAATTACCCTATAAAATTTACAAATAAATAATAAATTGTTATACCTGCAATCATCAACTGTGCTGTTATTACTGCACACTTAATTTTGTCTTCTTTTCACTAACCTAAATTTCAATGTGAATGTTATTTTCCCTCTGTCTAACTCGTAGATTTAAATGTGTGGCGAGACTATAATTTATAGACTAACCAATCGCGTATAAGATAATAGGCCTCTGGTTTTGGCGCAAAATTCACTCATCCATTTGACTAAATAGAATGTTGGCATTAAAGATGATGTTAGTTCGTGATAAAAACCCTAATTCTAATTTCTTACTTTAATCGTCAACAGTAAATCATAATTCTAATCCCTCACATTGGTTTAAAACCCTCATTTGGTCCTAGTTATTAGGTGAGCACTCCCAAGGTCAATCTAGCGTCGATCAAAGGTTGTCCATAAATTATAGTCTCATCCAATATGTTTATTGATTATTGTGTGATTTAAGTTCTGAACCCTTAAAAACTGTTCGGCTATTTGTACTATCTCTGTTCAATATTTCAACATTTTCTCAGTTGAACTTCTATTTCCCTCCACCACCCCAGTTGTCTCAATACACGTTTGTAGGCCGATGAATTTTTATGTATGCATTCTTTCTTTTCTTTGTTGATTCTTTTACTTTAATAAAAACACTTCACTAATATTTTTTTTACTTTGATGAGCTTCAAAAAAGAAGAAGAAAAACTACCTAGAGACAAAGATACGTTTTCAATGTATCTGTACACATATATTTATCCTAATCAATTATCCTAGTTGTTTGTTGATTAAAAAGTAACATTCTTCTTTTACACTGAATTGAAGAAAGCCAAAGGTTAGATTAGGAAATATCAAAATAAATTAAGAGTCATATATGTAGAGAAAGAGTGAAAGAGCAGAGAATTTGAACAAAGAAGAACCAAATAAAAATTCAACAGTAAAGAGTCACAGTGTGAAACACATAGGAAAAACGAAAGTAAACAAAAACAATGTAACATTGAACTTGTTGAAATAAATAATTGAATGAGTGTTATCATTTCTTCTGTTCAATGAAATCATCTCATTTCTCTGTGTTTGATGATTTCTTATTCATTCACTCTCTCACTCCCTCTTTAATTTCCTGAACCTTTCATTTCGATAATCTTGAATCAAATTTTATAACGTGTTTTCTTTTCTTGTTGATATTTCATATTCCTGATTTATAACAAAATGTAATTATATATATATATATATATATATATATATATATATATATGATAAATATTTATGACCCGAAATGACCGTTGTTGCCGCCATTTTGAAAACGACAAGAAAGATCCATCATTATTTTCTTTGCTAAACATCAATTAACTGTATGTTTCAATTATTTTAAGAATATGATATTTCATTGTTTTTAATCCAATAAGATAAATAATGAACTATTAATTATTATGAACAAATTTCTGTATTTTAAATGTAAAACATTTTAAAAAGTTCCAAGAAAACATCACTAGGATAAGATCGTTCATTTTGTATTAGTTCGGCGAGTCTATTGAAATAGCCCTCAAATGCTCTAGTACGGCAGAGAGTGGGGAGAGTCAGCTCTCCCTCTCGAAATACTCTCACATGGTGACGTGGATACAACCACTGCCAGGAAAGTCCTACTCATTGCCTTCTCGTGTCGACGGTGTTGTTTATGAGATTGAGAGGATGAAAAGCGAATGTTCGGCGCTTTAACTGGGTTGGTGGACACGGAAAGTCTACCTAGGGGAGTTGAAAAACCCTGATCCCAAACCAATTGTGCACATGCACTCCAGTATCTTAAGGAAATAAATGGTGTATTAACCAATTGTTGGTCACCGGTTACCATAGGACTGCATCCCTTTACGATGCTCCACTGGCTTGTGGATTAGACATTTATATCAAAGGCTTGAGGTGCGGCCCCCTAAGAAAACCACCAGCCCTCAAATAAGTCGAATGATCTGTGTGGTGCTTATCTATTTGGTGCCCTTTTGTACCAATTTATATATGTTTAAATAAATAAATAAGTCTATTGAAATATTAACTGGTAAAATGATTTTTAACTTTTAAACTGAATAAATTTTTAAAATCGGAAAGTGGATTTTAATCATTAATTCGTCATTGTTGAATTAGAGCTCCATTTATATGAAAATTAATATTATAGTGAACAATATATTTAATGATCAAATAAATCCTCTTTATATTAGATGCATTGTTCAATGCTGAGGAGTCCCACGATAAGACGAAACGGCCATTCAGTTCTTACAGGTTTTCCATGGTGGTCTGTCTTCAATTGACTCATGATTTCAACTAAATATAAAAGATATTTATTTATTGTTCACTTACGATACATGAAGGTTACTCTTTTTTAATTTTCATACCTTTTAATCTATTACAGCAATGAACGTATTTGTTGCATTCCTTCTACTTCATCTTTTATTGGAAGATACAACCCCAGCAGCTGCGAGTAATTTCCCACTACTTGGTAAGTGAATAAAAACAAATTATATATATATATATGTATATATATATATATATATCCGCGTCGTCTTTTTAGTATACTTAAAAATGAGAAACCGTCACAATTCCCATGACTAGGAAGACTGATGTAAGTTAAGAGTTTTTGACTACAAAATGTAACAGACGATTCTTGTCGAAACTACACTCATTTATTTATTATTTGTACACCCATTTTGATTATTATTTAGAAAAAAGTTAAATATATGAAAAATGTTTAAAATCATAGCAAATCATATGCTGAATGTCATGCTGAGCACAGTAAACGCTAATTTAATACAAGAATATCCTATCTTGAATAAACATCACACTAAAATAAATTTATATCATACTGGGTAAAATACTACTTACTTGCAATTGTTACCGATGATGGAGCATAGGTAGTTCACCAGCGATCTCCAACTTATTTTGTCCTGGGCTCTACTTTCCGGATGTTGCCAAGTTCTACTCATTATTTTAATTTCTGCCTCAAATTCCTGGCACAGTGTGACTTTTTAACTGTCCCTTTCTTCATTGCTCTAAGGATTCGAAGTTGGAGTTCGCTTTTTGATCCAGTTTGATTACTTGCACAGTGTTTATCTTCTACCACACACTAGAAATAAAACAAATATTATACTGAATAATCTTCATCTTGAATTAAAAACCGAAGCAACGTTGACTAAAAATCACAATAAATAAAATATGTAGTTTTCCCTTTTTTATCTTGTCATATCGGTTGTCATTATAATTATAACGGCAAGCGGTTCACCCAGTTAAAGTACATAATTTGTTGAGACTATTCTTACACCATAACAATTTAACGGAATAACCGCAGACACATTTATATCTTCATCGTTTTGTATTTATTGTCTGTCATATTCTAGACTTAAATTGAAGTAGTTTCACAATTAGCATATATAGGTTATCTCAAAGTGAACTGCCAAAAAATCATTTTAAGTAGGATGGGAATGGATATTTATTTTTGGAAAATTAAACGTTCTAATAAGTAGATAAAGATGAGGTCTGAAAAGTTCATGATACTTATAATAACAATGTGTTCTTGGTGTAAGTGATTTCCACTTGTAAATTAATAATCCAGTTTCTTTAATGCATTATTGTAATGAATGAAGACTCAGATACGGTAAACCAATTTATTGTATCAACCCAAATCACATACTTCACTTGTTATATGTGAAGACAATACATTGAATAAAACCCTTTACACATCTTCTTTGTAGTTGTCTCATACAGATTCAGTCGTTCCTCGATTCCTGTTGCTATTTGGACAGTTTTTACTTTTCTTTCTCTTCTCCTAATGTTTCTTTTTTGTCAATAATAATGCTACTTCTAATTCCTGATACATACTGCTTATGTCTGTCCGCATAAATAGCAAACACTACACTATCTGTACTTTACTGCCATTCCATAATGTTCCGTCAAAACTAATAACAATGATATCTGATAGTGAGCGGAGTGTATCTTTAAAATATACTATAAGATAGAAATATAATTTACCAATTTGTTTATTGAATCTATCCTTTATGTCAACTCATCAGTTGACTCAAATTACGTAAAAAGTCCAGATATTCCTTTAGAGATAGTATTTATTTACAGCTTTAGAGTCTTCCTCTTGTCAAAAGTATTCTTTTAGATAAAGGGGTTTTTTACAGATCCCATTCTATAAACCTCTATTTTTATTCCCCTTTTTTCATAATCAGAGTGGAATAATGTGCTTTTATTCTTTGAAACTGAAATCATCTCATAATTTTAAAAAAAATAGATAAAGTAAGAGCAACAAGATCTCCACAATGACTTGAATTAGTTTCCTTCTCTTGGTTTCTTATCAGATGTTAACATTTGTTTCAATTAGATTGCGGCCTAAGCTCCATTGAGAGTAACAGGCGTAAGTAAGTAAGTTCAATTAGATTGAGTAATACGATTAAAGATATGAGTTTAAAATACTTTAGTAAAGTTGGGTTGGTTATTTGGAATAGAACCGAAAGTCATAATAAGATGAATAGAATATAGAATTTCTGATTAGATAGTAACGCTTACCGAGTATAATTCAACAATACTATTATTTTCAACATATAATTACTCCCCAATCTCATCTAAGTTTAATTATATATATTGTATTATATTCCAATTATTACGATTCTCAATTTCGTTTTCAATCTTTTATCTTAACATGATGGACTAAATGATATCAAACTTTAGTTTATAAACATATTCATCGTTATGGTTTTACACGAATGATAAACTATAGAATGGAATTATGATTTCATCCAATTGTGTAAACCTTGTTATTCTTTATGCAAAGATGGATGGTGGCTAGCAGTGAAATCTTGGACGCGCGTTTCGTCCTATTTGGGACTCGTCAGCCTAATGTACCCTCATCTCAGAGTTGATGTTCACTCTTGGACTTTAACCCAGTACCTTTCGCTTCAAACGCCATCGCATTATTAGAGACTGACCAGTTGCATTCCTAAACAAACAATACTAAGTGAATTTAAACTTCACCCCACTACACAAGCAAAAGGCTATCAGGACTCAGTAACTGAGTGGATAACGTGATGGCGTTTGAAGCGAAAGGTACTGGGTTCGAGTCCCAGAGTGAACATCAACTCAGATGCAGGTACATCCAGCTGACGAATCCAAAATAAAACGAATCGCGCGTCCTGGACTCAACTGCTAGCCATTATCCGTCTTTGCTTATAATGCCTGTAAATTAAGGCTATGTCGAGGCAATACGCACAGTATGCACATATACCAATAAGAGACTGACCAGTTACAGTATTAAACATCAATGAGAAGATTCAAACAAACAATACTAAGTGAACTTGTTATTTTTTTATTTATCATGAGATCAAACTGCAAAAAAAGGAAGATTTCATATCTTATTGATTCTTAAGTAAAGTAAAAATATCATTAATCAAATGATAACAGAATGACTTATCTTATTGAAAAGTTAATCACTGAACAATAATTGATATCAAACATTACATCTAACTCCTGACTAAAGTCTGTATATCGAAAGATGAAATAAAATAATATAAACTGTAATAGAATGACTTTTTAGGACACTTTAAATCTACATTTCCTGCTCATTAACATTAATTCGTAAGGAATATCTACATTATTTAGAATTCTCATATTATATTACTGAAAGTCGAATCTATATACAATATCTGCATATATAACATTGTTAGTTATTAGGGGATTCTATTCATACGATCATTTGTTATCTCAGTCAAACGTTTGGTTCCATACACTTTACTGATAAAAGAGAGGTTAGTTAGTTATCTAAAATACTCGATTATTAACAGAAAAGTCAATAGATTTTCATAGATTATAAAATTATGAAAGAACATTCATTTGATTAGCTCTTCTTAAATCTGAATCAATTATTTATCATATACTTTAAAAGATAAATTTAAAAACTCTGTAATCGATATTATTTATGAGTAATAACATCAAGTTTTTGATTGAGATCATGAACCGATTGATGTTAGACCATTATTGAAAACCTATTGTGGAACTCCTTAAAAGTTTGCATCCACGATCTTGCTCGTGGGTCTCGTGTGCAAACGCTTAGACTCGAAACCACTGAGCCGGCACCCAACGGCCTTAATGTCTAACCTCAACCAATTCACGAAATTGCGTGACCATCTTCCATTGCACAGAGGTAGATATTTGTCTCTACCTCACATGGATCAGCTCCACTGGTTACAGCTTCTAACTAGAACTCCGAAAATTCCTTCACGAAGATAGTCACTAGTAACCACATGGTCATTATCAGTATGGGGTCGTGGAGATTAATAAGTTTTTAACTGAGACCATGAACCGATTGATGTTAGACCACCATTGGAAACATGGAGCGCATTAGTTGCGATGAAAATTAAATTTAAATCTATTTTGTAGGAACTGATAAATAATCTAAATAAAACATAACAGAAAGTGTTCTATAACACAAGTAATTAGAGAGATACCTGATATAACCGATTTTATCAGTTGTTCATTTTGTAAACAATGATTACCACAATCTATAGTTTTGTTTTCATATAATAGTTGAAAAGTTTCTGAGAAGGTAGATCGGTAAGTTTTACCAGAAAAGTTGTTTTCTAGAATCAACTGCACCTTAGAGGTTGTAGATCAGACAGTTTCTACAATTAACATTACATGTTCGGATTGAAAAGATAATTTTTTAAATGTTTTCTTCAGAATAACAGTTATGAGTAGAAATCTAAGTCTTGGTTTTAGTTGTTTGTAAATGAAGATTCATACAAGTGAGAACACTGTCCTACATTATTAATCATGGAATTCACTACAGTTTAATTACTACTTTATTTTAAGCTCACTTTGAAATTATACTTTTATTGTTCACTTACGACTAACTGTACTCCTCTTTTTGTAATCAAATTACAACTCATTAGTTGATATTCAACCATCAATACTCATATATTTCGTTTACTATTAGTAACACAATTTACATTTTGTAAAAAATTAGGTTTATTAATATTTGTTTCTCATTGATTTCAGTTTTTAACTGTGTTAAGATTGTTTGAAAGAAAATTGGTAAAAATTTTTATTTTTTACCAAGGTCATCATTCCCCAGATTTAGCGGATAGAAACCTATAAAGTGATCACAGTAGAAATTATAAGTGATTGGCCACCTTAAGGACTTGCGGTCTTCTGCTCCAATCAGTATATGGCGCGACGATGACGCCAATTAGAATACAGTTAGTTATCGATCGGACCAATGACGCGTTAAACCTGTAAGAACAGTCTAGAGCCTCTATCGATCCTTCTTCCTGTCTACCCCTGTCTCTTAAATCTACAACACCAATCTCGGCCTCTGCAATATGAATTATGTAATTCAAACATGCTAAGTTTATAAACAGACCACATCGTACCATGAAATAGAAAATAACATTTGTACAAGATCTAACAAAAAGTGGCTGTGGATGTAGGAGACTGTAACTAATAGACTGGACATTATTCAAGAACAGTAAATCGTATAGTCACCTTTTACGGGTCAAAATAAAGCTTGTAACAGGGTGAACATGAATATGTATAGTTTAGCTACTTAATAATTATGCATATATCGTATCGGTCCATAAATAGTCCTCAAAAGTTACCGTTCATAATTCTCGTCAGGATATAACACACACATCTGAGAAAACCAGAATTGTGTGTTGTAAGTTACAATGTTGAAATACATATTAAAGTGGAATTTATCACAATATTTTATGTTAAAGATTCCTTATTATAATAAAACATACATAACATTGGATAAATTAACTATAATGATAACTAACTAAATCTCATTTGATGCATTAACCTATTTCAACTACTTGTCATAATAAATTAATCACTATGTACTTTTTCTTTATGTTTTTTTAGGCGCATATTATTGTTTCAATATGGGTGTAATTACAATTTCAATGTTTTTATGCTGTATCACAGTGAATATACATTTTCGAACAGCTGAAACTGAACAACCATCTAAATGGTTAAGAAAAGTAAGATTAATTTTAAATAAACTAAATTTTTTTTAACTGATTTAATTGTTCATTGTTAAAAATCCAATACATTTTGATTATTACAAGGCAGTAAATTAATTCACTTAGTATTGTTTGTTTGAATCTTCCCATTCATGTTTAAGACTGCAACTGGTCAGTCTCTAATTGGCATATGTACATACTGTGAGTATTGCCTCGATATAGCCTTAATTAACAAGTATTGTAAGCAAAGATGGATAGTGGCTAGCAGTGGAATCCAGGACACGCGTTACGTCATGAGTGGATAATGCGATAACGTTTGAAGCGAAAGGTATTGGGTTCGAGTACCAGAGTGAACATCAACTCTGAGATGAAGGTACATCCATCTGACGAGTCCCAAATAGGGCGAAACGCACGTCCTGGATTTAACTGCTAACTACTATTCATCTTTGCTTGTAGTAACTAAACGTTTATTATACAGGATAATGGTCAAATTAGTATAGAATAAATAAAATGTGGCTAGTTGTGAAAACCAGGATGCTCATTTTATCCTATTTTGGATCAGTCAGTTGAATATAGCTGGTTCCCAGAGTCGAAGTTCATCCCAAAACTTGAACCCAGTACGTTTTACTCCATCTAAAGTGAATTAATGATCGAATTACCATTTTACTTCTACATATCATTACTATAATTGACTATTAATGATAACTTTCAAGTGTTAGTGTTCATTAAGAAATCAATCTCATTCATAGATGTTATCGAAAGTTATATTTCTCTCACTAGTTTATGAGTTACGTTTTAATTTTGTTACTTATCAATTCTAGAAGAAAGCTAAATGTCATATGTTTATTTTAATCACCTATTGAATAAACTTCGTGGATGAAATGTAACAAACGTACTTAGAGAAAAGGTAAGCGTATTTCATCTTTTAAATATCTAAAGCATTTAGTCAATAAAGTCGTATGAAGTTTATGACTATATTTATATCCGGTAATTTTTTAATCATTTTGTTATTATTATCAGAAGGGATTTTGTGGGTATTATAATAATTTTATATAGTTGAGATCATGAATCAATTGAAGCTAGACCACCATGAAAAACCTGGAAGCACTAGACGGCCGTTTCGTTTTATTATTAACAAGAAAAATCTCGAACCAGACTACACAGTGAAACATTGGAGTTATTTGGTTTAAATAGTTGGGTTTTATAGTGTAAAAGCAGAGTTCTTTTTGAGTCTATAAAGTGTCTGATAGTCATAGTCAATTGAAAATTCTTATCCAAAGGATGCAAATTGTGGTTTGAAATACATTATAGTTTTTTATTCTAAACTGCTCTTATGATGAATCCACAAAACAACTTATCTTTTACATACTTTGACAGCTAAAAATTTCTTTGTTTTTTAACTACCATGTTATTTATTCAAATGTTGCAATCGTATTCATGATTATTTCACATAATAATCTATAATAAGGAATAGAAAATTGTTGAGTTATCTACAAAGTTTTCATAATTAGATGAAAAATTTTAAGTATTGAGCTAGGTTACATAATAGTCAGAGTAAATAAAATGGAAACAACATATAGAATAAGGTCTAAAAGACAACTTTTCATTTGAAGAAGATGAATAATGGACGAAAACATCTAAAGCGATTTAAAATTTATAATCCGAAGTGGGATGAAGAGAATCTTAAAACAACGGTTCGAATATATTGCTTATCAGCATAGCCTACAATAGTAAACCTCAAAAGCTTTAGTTATGCGCAATTTCCTTTGCAGTCATCTACCTCTACCAATGTCTTCATTCAGAATCATTAAAAATCCCAAAGGAACTGATTCTAAAAGAAGATTGAAAAGAAAAGCTTTGGCTTATTATCGATTTCAGTTATACAAAATTTCAAGTTTCTAACTTTATGTGATTCATGAGTACAGAAGAAGCTTCAGTTTTGTGATAACACTTCTGTATCATAATACTGACTCGTGGTGACCTTGAATTCCTAGTCATATAACGATTATAATTATTTTCGTTTAAATTTCTATGTTCAGCAGAATAAAATACTACTAAAAAGAATAAAGTATACAGTTATAACTTTAATCACGCACTGACGTCAGCTGAAAAAGTACTGAAAATGAAGAACCACCAGTTGACTGATTCAAATCTTGCTAGTAATTTAAATGAATGATTGCATAGGTAGCAGGACTCACCTAATCACTCCACATCCTCCGGCTATCTCACTGGTATTTGTCGGAATTTTCAACTTCAGTTGTTTTATCGTGTGGTAAAATACAAATTCAGTACCCTAGGTAGTTGACTGATTCTTTTCTAGCTGGAGTGAATTCACTAGTTAAATTATTCTTTGGGATGATTGATAAATCAACCTCAAAGCTAGTTATTGTTGACTGATCATTCGAGTGTGATTCATTAAGTTGATATTCAGTGGTTAACTGACTACAACCTCTCCATATAACCTGACCATTCTGGGGTCGCCCTAGCATAGTGTGAGTAATCAAGAGGAGCTCCAGTGGTTCTTTAGTTAATGTAAGCTACCGAATAAAGATGAACTTAAACCACATTAATTCTTCACAAAACCATCAGTATAAACATATATCACACTCATACTAGAAATATTTTAATCGAAAGAAACTGTTAAAAAATGTATTAAGTATGATTAAATGTTTGTCAATAGAATCTAGAACGAATCATTAGGCAGACAGATTATATATCTTGTAAAAATAAACCTTACCAATAGTAATGAGTGAAAAGTAAAATGGCTATACGACCAACACTCACTTTTATTCTAAGCCATGTCTGATAATTACTCAGACATCTGAGTTACACGAACTTTAAGATCTCTGTCAGTAAGTTCTTACAGTTCCTGTCTCGGTTTTGACACCCAGATAGTATTCTAGCCCTCACACAAGTCGAATGATAAAGTGAGGCACATATATTTGGTTTTTCCTTGTACCAACATCTATGTTTTTAAATAAATAACCAATTATAAATGGTGATTGTAAAGTTTTGTGTATTGAAGATGAAGAAAAGAGTAATACCTGAAAAGTTTATTTAAATGCACATATCTAAATTCAGTGATTTTAATCTGAAACCGTTAACTTTATAAATAAACCAAAAGTGAGCGGTCAGTAACTATATCTTTTCCATACGATAAATCAAAATATTAGTCTTCGTTTGATGGATTATTTCTTATACATTGCTTAATACCTAACTTGTGTATATGAATTAAAAAGCGATTTGTTTAATTATAAAATTAATTGAACTTACTGAACAAGGATGATCATAGAGATGTACGGTGAGCCGGAATTCAGCAATGAATTCTTTGATTTTGGATCTAGATTAGGGCCTGTTACTAAACGTTGAACAGAAATACCTTGAGCGAAATTTTATTCCTTTGTGTTTGATAAAAGGATGATAATCATTTTTGATTGTATTTCAGTGTATATGAAGCGGTAATGTCTTTGTGAGTTATTAAAAGCAAACACCTCAATCGCCAAGTATTAGATCTCATTACACCGTAAGCTAAAGAATTTAAATAGTATAACTTAGTCAACGATTTTCTGAAAATATTTTTTGGAGCGATTTATTCTGCATCCCCGTTGATAAGACATCGTTGGAGGGCATCGAATAACTCACCTTTTCGTCACAGATAACTAAATATTCCCTACTAGTAAAAACTTTATTTTAAATACTATAATGAGTATTCATTATCAACATGTAATCAATATAAAGACACGAACTGTCAAATCTAAACAACAAGTGATAGCTTAAGGTTTTGAAGTAAACATCGATAATTGACATTTTAGATCTTCCGGATTTTAATAAGATTTGCTTCTGTATACTGAATAACTCAGTGATACCTTTTTCATTACTGTGTTGAAACATATCGTTAGATATAAACGTCTAAAATCTTCACTACACCATAAAAGCACCGGACGTCATGAAGCTTGTTACATATATTTCATAAAACTAATATTTGACTTTATTTTGTATTATTTGTTTGATTCTTCCCATTCATTGTTTAGACTGCGATTTATCAGTCACTTATTGTCATATGTGCATCCTATGCGTACTGCATCGATATTGTCTTAAATCACAAGCATTATAAACAAAGATGGATGGTGGCTAACAGTGGAACCCAAGACGCGCATTTCATCCTATTTAGGACTCGTCAGTTAGAGCTGATGTTCACTTCAGGACACTTTGAGATGCAGTTACATCCAACCAACGAGTCTCAAATAGGACGAACTGCCCATCCTGAATTCCACTGCTAGCTATCATCCATCTTTGCTTATAATATTTGTATAATTTTTAATAAAGCATTCAGAACTAACAAACTTCACACATGCTTTTATAGATAATCATATTTCATCATTAATTTATTTTTTTATAGGATTACCAAGAAAGAATTAAGGATAATCAATTTGTTAAAATGTCATTTATATAGGCCATTGAATTACAACTAAATAAATATTCAATGAATTTTTTTAAAACAAAATGTATACTACTTATATAGTTTATGAAAGAAAAAACAGTTGTGAATAGACTTTTTTATAATAAAAAAAAGAAGAGAATATTCAATAATAATTATAGAGATTCATTATGGATACAAACAATTAGTTAGCTATGATAGTACTCATCATTATATCTATATTCTTTGACATAAATATTCATTTCAAATTGTATTTAATTATACTACTAATAATCTAAACAGGAAATGGGTGTAACCATTTTGTTCATTCTTAAATTATTTACAAAACTACGTAGGTAATAATAAGTATGTAGTGAAAGACAACGAGAGAACAACTATATATATACAATCATATCAACGAAACAATCGTTTCAAAAAATGTTATTCTTTTACATTGTCTCCATTGAATGACTTTTATTTAGGGGATATTACATGGATTATTATATATTATTATTTATATATATATATATATATATATATATATATATATATCATTCATATATTATTATTATTATGATTTGAAGTGGTGTTTAGGAGAGATAAGTAATTTGTGAATAAACTTTATTCTGGATGGATTGACCTCCCTATTACTATAATAACCGTGTATACTCAAGTTTAAATCACTTTTGTATAATGTTTCAGTAAAAGGAACTGTCTTTTCTAAAAACGATCATAAAAATTGAGGCATTCATGATAATCTAAATATGGAATATGACAGGAAACTTAGTTCACTGACAGATATTTTCGGAATGTTGAAAATAGTTTACAGAATCATTTCACAGTTATTACACATTCCTGTTTTAATGCATACATGAAGTAAATTTGTTAGTCTTATATTAACAACAAACTCTATGGTTGAATTTACTTGATATTGTTTGTTTGATTCTTCCCATTGATGTTTAGGACTGCAATTGATCAGTTTCTTATTGTTATATAGGCATTCTGTGCTGATTGCATCGATATTGTCTTAAATCACAAAGATGGATGGTGGCCAGCAGTTGAACTCAGGAGGCGCGTTTCGTCTTGAGTAGATAACGCGATGGCGTTTGAAGCGAAAGTTATTGGGTTCAAGTATCAGAGTGAACATCAACTCTGAGATGAAAGTACATCCATCTGATGAGTCCCAAATAAGACGAGACACCCGTCCTGGATTCAACTGCTAGCCACTATCCATCTTTGTTTATAAACTCTAAGGTTTTCAAGTTTTTGTATATTATGGAGTTATGGGCAAACTTCATTCACAAGACACAAGTAGACATCTAGCATTTTGTTTAGCATTCATCATATTTTTTAGTTTTCAATCTCTATGTTATTTGAAATAAGATCTGATATATTCTAACTAAATCTTGCATCTATGAAAAAAAAAATTCAACCTTATAGCATAACAACCATTTGTCACATGCAGTTAAAAATAAACTCCTCTTTCCATGAACGATCTACATTTTCTGAATTATGTTCTTCCTTTATAGCCGGAATAGTTTCATGTTAATGTCTCTTTGTTTTGCTATGAGCTGTAGTTAACTGAAAATATCAATCTCATTCCATAATTATGTAGGACTTTTATAATTAATTTTTTTTAAATTTCGAACCTTCTTAAGTTAATAGTTGGTAAGATCTTGAAAAGTTATGAATATTTTGAGATTATATATAGATGAAATATAACAGTGTAAAAAAAGGAAGATGCTTTAGAAGGCTATTTGGTAGTTTTATCATTTTTGTGTACCATACAAACATCATTTTCCATATGGTTCCGTTAGAAAGTTATCTCATGAACTTTTCAATTTGTCCTACTTCTGTAATAACTGAATTGAATAATCATTGGAGACATTTATGTTTTTTTTCATACTGGTAAATTTAGCTATTTTGTGCATTTTTCTCACATAACTTCGGTGAAAGTTCACATCTTATTCATGGAACCAGTACTTATTCGGATTATTTAAAGTAAATTAGAGTACATAAATTTATTTCATTTCACAATGTTTTTCGTTCTCGCTTTAATAGAAAATTATTTGTGTCAAAAAGTTATAAAACCGTATTCCATTATGAATGTTACTTTAATCACTATCAACAAACAAATGCATGACACTTAATGTTTTCAAAAAAATTTACTTCTAATAGAAGTGAATAATTAATTAATTAATTATCAGAAGGGTTTTTTTAGAGATTTAGTATTTTTCATAGTTGAAAGCGTGAGTCAATTGAAGCTAGACCACCATGGAAAACCTGATCCTGGGTTCGAATCTCGCGAGTGCGGGTTCGTAGATGCGTACTGCTAAGAAGTCCCATAATAGGATTAAATAGCCGTTCAGTGCTTCCAGTTTTTCCATGGTGGTCTAGATTTAATTGACTCATGAATTCGACTATTAAATTACTAAAATCTACACAAAATCCCCTCCTAGTAATTAGCTGCATCAAACATAGTAACATCTATTATCATTTGATATTTAAAAGGAGGTTTTGTGGAGATTTTAGTAATTCAATAGTCTAATTGTAGAGTCAATTGAAGCTGGACCACCATGGAAAACCTTCCATGGTTTTGCATAACATACACCAGATTATTCAATTTTTTTTGTCAAATATTTATTTTTAAAAAATTACTAAATTTTTGCTAAAATCTTGAACTAAGTCATTGATCATCTCGACTGCTAGTAGATTTATTTATCCTAATAGTGAAGTGATTGCTAACTAGTGACATTCTATTATGATTTAACTAATTTGTGAATAGACATATCTGAAAATGTGACACTTATTTGTTCATTTTCTTAATAATTATCTAGTGGATAATCTCGTTTATCTCACTTTAATATGTTACTTTCATTCTTATGACCATTTGACCATGACATGACTTAACATTTGAACCAACTGTAATCCGTCTGTTAATAACTCGATAATTCCCTATTTTATTAATGACTACAATGTGTAAATTCAGTTGTATAGCCCAATCCAGTAGAGGACATCGTCAGAAACCAAATTTTCTTCTCTGAACTTTTTTTTAATATTTTGCTTAAATATAAAATATTGGGTTCAGACTCATCCGTTAGATACCAACATAACTCAATACTCATACTTATGTCTTATCAGCTGTTGTAGTTTTGTTTTAAATTTATATGTATTTTGTTTTTGTTCTTCCTAACAGTTCACCGCATTGATGGGACGAATACTTTTTATCAACATTGATGCACTTGAATTAGTTGAAACAAAAGATAACTTAGAAATGAATGTATGTTTCAATCGATCAGCACAAAAATCTGTTAAAATGTCATCTCATCTAGGTAATTCTAGTAGACAATTCAATCATTCCAATATTTATACACATAGTAGTTTAAATGATTTAAATGAAAATGTTTCATCATTAGTACTAAAATCTTCTAGTTCAACATTAACATCATCATCATTATCATCAGCTCATAATTATTTACACAATAATACACTTCAAAATGATTATGTGAACTTTCATAGTCAATGTCCACATTGTACAATCCAATTGAATACTTCAAAATCATATCCACTTCATTCTGAATGTTATAAATCATTCAATGATAAAACTAATAACAACAATTTAAACAAATCTCATAATTCATTTCAACTTCCAATTTGTTCAGAAACTAATACACGTTGTTCATGTTATTATTTTAAACAAATATCTTCCCCTTTATGTTATTTAAGTACTAATGATTTATCAAATGATCAGAATAGAATACATAATAATAATAATAATAATAATAATAATAATAATAATATATCATCTAATACTATAGAGTTATCTAATTCACATTATTCATTACCAAGAAATATTTGTTTAAATGATCCAATGATGAGTAGACAACAACATTATTTAAATAAGAATCTTATTCAAAATATAAATGATTTAAACAATTGGAATAATCAATATTATTTACATCATTCAAATCATCATTTAAATCAAACGATACCAATATTTAAACAAAAATATAATGAACATAAAAAATTAAAAGAATTTTCAAAATCACTTTATTGGAATAAATTTAATAAACAAAATAAACAAAATAAATTTGTATCTAAATCCAATAGTACACAATTAAAAGATTATTTCCCGCTTCATTTAAATAAAAAAATATCAATAATCAATCAAAAAGATCAACAATCATTAAAATATATTAAACAAGATATAAATTATATATCAAAAGCAGCTAGACAATTAATTATTGAATTAAAACAACGTGAATATAAAGAAAAAATTATTGAACAATGGAAAATTGTTGGTATTGTATTAGATAGAATATTTTTTATTTTATATTTTATAACAATTTTATTATCAGCATTATTATTTCATCCAACATTAATTGATGATTATAATGATGATTAATTATTGATTTTATTGATTATTACTGTAAATCAATAAATAATTGAATTCATATATTATTGTATAAAATTTTTGTTTTTCATAGTTGAAATCATGAGTCAATTGAAGATAGACCACCATAGAAAACCTGGAAGCATTGGACGGTTGTTTCTTCCGATTACGGGGCTCCTCAGCAGTGCGCACTCACGATCCAGCACTCGCTGATGCGCACTACTGAGGAGTTCCATAATAGGATGAAACGGTCGTCCAATGCTTCCAGGTTTTCTATGGTGGTCTAGCTTCAATTGACTCATGATTTCAACTATGAAAATATTAAATTCTCCACAAAACCCCTTCTGATCTAAAATTTTTGTGTAAACATTTACAAGATATAAAAAATAATTGTTGTGTTAACCATTTTTTTTATTCTGTTTTAAAAATATATATAGACGATTTGTGGAGATTATAATATTTTCATAATTATTATAACGAATCAATCTCAGCTAGATTATCATTTAAAAACTTGAAGTCATTGTGTTATATCTCAAACTTAGATTCTTAGTATGTCACGTAATACTTGAGCACTTGAACGCTGGAACCATCCCAAGTCGCAAAATGAAAAGACAGAAGACTAGTAAGTAGGAATGTTATTCCCGAAACAGTGTCAAATATAGTACATAAATCTCACGTATTTATAGTTTTTGGCTGAAAGTAAATCATCATTTCGGATAGCTAATAGGCACATAAGAGGTACTTTTTATTCAACCAATAGAAGAGCTAGAATGTTCCTCTAGCGGTGATTGGATAGAATGTTTTTGGTTCTTTCTGAGCTTCTAGAGGCTTCCTTGAGTTTGCCAACGAACCATCCTAACACATTAAATGTCCATTTCTTCTAATTATGAAACTTCTTAGAAGTTCATACTGACGACCCTGCATGCTGGAATCGAATCGAACACCACTGAACTTCCCCGAGTACTTAACCTCCAAGCCACTAGGAAGGAGTGGCCATCCAGTACTTATAGGTTTTCAATGCTGGCACAGCTAAGATTAGTTCGTGACTTTGACTGTGTAAATATATAGGTCAATATATATTTGACTATTGAGGTCAGTTATTTTAAGCAACCGACAAAGCTTACTTTGTCCTACTCTGTTCTGTTCTACCAAATATACGACATTATTTGGGTAATCCCACATCTGTTCTTTGAGGCAACCAAGGAAGCAGAACAATCTGATCACCAGGTACGTTGAATTAGGCCAGGTGATTGTTGCATAGTTTGACTCAATATTAAGTAAGTCAAGTATTTATTATCATTTTAATTCAGATCTGTTGAGACGGCTCCGAAAATCATGACGAAGCCTCCAGAGTTTGTAAGGGAACCTAAAAGATCCCGTTCAACCAGAAGTTGACAGAGTCTTCTGGGTTATCAACATGGCATGCTATGCTTGGACGATTGCATGACTTTACCCCTTGCGAATTGACTGGATTATAGCGATGTTATGGCCGATCATAAAAACTATAAACACCACTGCTTTTCTGTAAACTTATGAATTTTATACAATAGTCTCTCCTCCCGTCCCTTGATTGACGACTGTTGAGGTCCTACACGTCCAAGTACCGTTAGCTGTGTACCGTATTATGCCACAATCAAGTAGAGGACGTAATAAAATCGAGTAATTTTGACTTATTGAGAGGGCAGGCAAGGAAATATAGTCCGACATCAAGAAGTATTGTAAATCTTTTTATTTTTGAGTTATTACCAAGCGCACTATAAACGTATTAAAGCATCTCTTATTTTATTAAGTGACAACTATAGTGAAATTTGGACTACTTCTTGAGGATATCCTTACTTTTATCAATACCTCTTGGCACATGTATTTTCATTCACAATATCTTAAAGCAAGGTAATGAACGAAGACTTGGGTGGTACAAACCAGTGTTTTCTATCAAGCAAAATCACACACTGCATTAGTAAAATATGAAGACAATACATTGAGTACTTAATTTGTACATCCTCCTTGAACTATTTCTTAGAAACTCCATGGTTCTTCCATTGATTCTGCTATTTGGACAGCGTATATTTTCCTTTCTCTTCTAATGTTTTCTTTTGTCGTTATTATTCCTATTTCTAAAATCGTATAAATACTCATTATATATTTTCATATGGATAGCACACACCCTAGCAGTATTACCTCATCCCAGCCTTATAGTAAATATATTTTCCTATGGATTATTTTACACATTTGATATCTATTGAACTGCTCTCAAATTCATCTGGAGCAAGCTAAAGTTTACTACTGGTCATAAAACTAGGTAAAGAAGACAGTTGTTGTGTCAGGTTGACAACTTTGCTTACTTACCTACCCCCGTTGCTCCTCGTGGAGTAGCGTAGACAGCCCACCAGCATCCTGTGTTCAACTTCATCCTGGGCAATCCTCTCCAGCTGCTTGCAGTTGCTATTGATCTTTTTCATGTCTGCTTCCTATTCCCAATGCAGTGTGTTCCTTGGTCTTCTTCTTTCCTTATGGATTTCAAGTAAGCATATGACTCGTGATGTGGTATGTTGATTTGCTCAGTTTATGTCCTATCCACTTCCCGCATCTTTTCCTCAGTTTCTCTTCTGCTCGAAGCTATTTTTTTCTTCCACAATAAGCTGTTGCCGATGATATCCGGCCAGCAGACATTGAGTATTCTGCATAGATAACTGTTGATAAATGCTTATACCTTTTTATTGATGGTTGTAATGGTTCTCCAAGATTCGGCTCCATACAGCAGGATTGTCTTGACGTTCATATTGACGAATCTGACTTTGACATTGGCTTGCAGATAGTTGTTTTGAGTTTTATACTAAATTTCCTCGCTAGTTTCTTCGTCGTGTCATAAAGTTGTTTCACATTCCCTTCTCTTGCAGCTTTTCCCACTGTCGTTACTAGGTCTTCCTCGTATTTCTGCTTGTCAGCTCTAATGCCCCTGTTCACTTGCTCGTTTGCTCCCGTGTATTTAGCTTGTGCCTAGACTTTCTCTGTTTTTAGTGAGACAGATCTAATCGATCTGGTTCACTGTCCTGTGGTCTGGTGAGACCCATGTAGCTTTGTAAATGCGTCGTCCATAACCATTTTGTTGGATGCGCATAAGTTCGCAAACTTGTCACCATCCTCATTCCTTTTCCCTCGGTTCATTCCGTCTCATAATAAATTTATACGCAATGTTTTCCATTCCAACTTTAGCGTTCAGGTCTCACATTACAATGATCATGTCCGTTCCTGAGAAATTCACTACGATCGACTGCAGCCTCTCATAAAGATGATCTTTATCGTCTTCATTTTCATCATGGGTGTATGCATAGCATCCGATAACATTCATTGTGATCCCCTCCTTTGTTTTGAAGCATGCTATGATGATTATGGGTCTATGACATTCCCATCCTATCAGTGCTTTACGTGCTTCTTTGAACAGTAGCAGAGAAACTCCCTACGTATGCGGAGCATTTTCTTCTTCATGACCAGATTACAATAGCATCTCTCCTGAATCTAACCTTTACTGTCGAGCTTGAGTCCAATGTGTTTCATTAATTCCGAGCACTGACAAGTTGTGTCTCCTCATTTCTGTAGCTGTTTTTTGGTCCTTCCGGTTACCCACACTTTCTGGACAGTCAATTTACCTATATTAATTGTTGCTCCAGTTCTTAGAAGGAGCGTCTGCCTCATGACTTACAAAGAATTTTGACTTTTACTACGAGGTTTCATAATTCCTCTGAATAAAGATCCTTCAACTCGAGTGATAGACTTTGTATGGTTCGATCTTTTTTGTGGCTAGCGTTTTCTAGCAAAGTTGTTTTCTAAGAGAAGGGGTTGCTGACCCTATACCCATCTTTCCTCCTTCAGGATTGGGACTGGCAGTAACCCTAGAAGGGCAGAGTTTGGTAAACCTAACCTCATGGAAAATCTCTCTGGAAAACACAAACCCAAACAAACCAAGTGACTCGTTTTAACACTTCTCTAGGATCGGGATCGCCTTCATATGTAATATGTACGATAACACATAGTGAAATCGACGACTCCTTGGTGTTCAAATTTGTAGCAGCAACTAGCGAAGGTGTATGGAGTTCTTTGATAACGTAGGACCACCAGAAAGACAACTTCAATGGCGGCAGAAGTGTGAAGATAGAAACGACCAGCTTTGGGAGATTAACTGCCATATTCTTGTCATTAGTAGTAAAATGCCCAATAAATACAATAATTTTCACATGTATTGTCTGAAGAAGCAGGAAGAGTGTTTATATTGTTGCTGTAATTTATCAGTAAACAGATTCTTGTTCCATTTTTCTTTCTCTATTACTGGTTTGGCAGTTGGGAATAGTCAATTACACTGTATTTCATTCACACTTTGGACGTCAATACTCCAACCGCGACAATGGACATAAAGGACTCACGTGGTGGTATGAACAGAATAAAATAAAAGATAGATTAGGGAAACCGGTAGATCTGTATGTTCTAAACAACATTTGCATAAATGACACTGTTTTGTACTACAAACGCAAAAGTAATGCAATATGGATAAATATATAACAAATACACGGAACTTGACGTCTAACAGCCTGTCAGACGCTTCTAGTGACCTACAACAGCACAGTTTCTAGTATTGAGTGTCTTTGACACGAGTTTGTATAGACTAAATAATTTCTTTGCTCTCGCTTCTTATTATTCCATTACGGTTCCAGGTATTCGGTCATGCAAAAGGGATGGTAGTTCAGCCACCCGACCTCACTAATACTAGCCAGTGTGGTAGTTGTTTTTGGGTTTATATATCGTATAATAGAGTGAGTGTTCGTCTGGAAGCATAAGGGTTTCTGGCTACCACTAGCTATCACAATACCGGACAGGAGTTCGATTGGTTGCAATCAGAAAATAATAAGGTGATAATTCAAGTCCTAGGAGAAAACGATAACTTCAGAAATAAATAAATAGATTAACTAATCGATAACGTTCAAGTAGGCGAAAATGAAAGAATAAGAGAGAAAATGTAGGTAATGGTAGGAAAAGTAGGAAGTATTCACTGACACCCATTAATGATAATTCCGGTGATTTTCGAGACATGTATCAGACACAGCAGGTTCAAGAAGGGATGGTTATCCACAGATGAGTATGTATTTTTCATGTCTCCCCCGAGATCTATCCACTGAGGTGGCTATGTTCACTTTCCTTGGAAAAGAATTCCAAGTGTTGGCAACTGTGAGTGCGATTTGTTTGATGTGTAATCCTTTGAGAGTCGCCTCGAGGAGTGTGGTGATGTAGTGATGTGGTGGTGATGTTCTGGTAATATGCTCGTGTTGGAATAATTTCGTGCACATAGTGTGTTTTACCCTATTATCAGACTACCTTTTATTCTCCTATAACTCAGCGACAATAATCTCAAGTATTAGAGTCTGTTTTCGTAAGATTCATGTTTTGATCCTACCACTCACTTGTTTGCGCGACTCTATACTTCGTATAAGAATTTTTCGTCTCTTTTAAAGAGAAGAGGAGAAACAACATCGCCAACATAAAATTGAATCTGTGGGTACGCTGTAAAAAGAGTTAGGAACAACTATGGGCAGAATTAGTCAAATTGTCTTCGCGTAAATTGGAGAGCTGCGTTCGCCTTGCTGCATCTCCTATGTATTTTGAGATGGTGTATATACTCTACGGTTACAACTCCGGGATAGCTCTATGGATCGACAATCGGGGGCGGATTCCCAAAGAGGATGTTAGTATCTTGTGTCGAGTGAAGTGGAATGTTTGAGACTTGACATTTCGACAGGCCAACTATCAACCTATTATCTAGCACTCATTCTTCTATTGCTATAAGATACTTTATAAGCCCAAGTGAGTCCTTTTCGCGTTTTACAGACCTACAGATCTATGGGTCGCCTGTACAACTCAGTGGCGTTCAGCTAATTTTAGTGAAGATCAAGAACAGGGTTAGACCTAAGATTGTCCCTTGTGGAACTCGTGATGTTGAGACCATCCAACCTGCTTGCACTCTAATCGCCTTCGTACGAGACATTTCGTTACCTAGGTGGTCAGTGAAACATAATTTCGTAGCACATGAAGTACCGTGCCAAACGCTTTTGCAAGATTGAGGAATATTACGTGAACCGGTGTCTTATGGTCCTAACAGGTCCTCCAGCTTTGCCATACTATGAGTAGGTTGGATTCACAATGTCTGCATTCCCTGAATTCGTGTTAATATTCAGGGAGAGTGTAATTTTCATCTTTGTATTCCCTTATTTGTCGATTGATCAGTCCTTCCATTACCTACAATAGTATTAGGAGTAAGGCGACTAGTCTGTAACATGCTGTGGCTTTTCTATCCCCCCTTCGAAGATTGGGGTGGGAGTAGCCTTTTTATATTATCTTGATAAGTGCTGTGAATCTAGCGAATATCTTGGCAGATCACACGCTGTTGTGCTGATGCCATTCGTGACCGTTTCAATATTATAGGTCGTAAGTTGTCACATTCTGGCGACTCTCCCAAATTCAGGTAATTTTTCTACTTATTACTAATCTGGGAGTTATTTGGATATCTCCTAGACCCTTAAAGTGACACTAAAGTCAAAAGGTATTCCGCACTTGCAGGCTCTTGTTTTAATTAGTCTATAAAGTTGGCTTTGGGGATTTCTGATATCTCTGAATTGTTGCGACTTTTGCTATTTGGCATTTTAAGAGCACAGACCCCTTGATTTACAGGCTTTCTCCTGGTTATGAATCTTAAGAGTTGTTTAAGATTAGCCTG